ACTTTTGCATCGCGGACGTCCGGCAGGCCGTAATTTGTGCAACATGTATGTACACATATAAGTGACGCGGGAGAAACATATGAAGATAGGATGTCCAGGCGGACAATAGTTGCCGTTTAAATATCGCAGCGTATAGTCCACCGGAGTAGGGCTACTTATTATTTGGTAACAACTTGTTGTTAACGTCTCGCGCCGTGCGTAACGCACCGATGCAGTCGCGAGTGGAAAACGAGGCGTGGAGTTTCAATATTTGCGTAAGTATATTTTACAATATATACAGGCGGGGGGAGGCCGCCTCACGCGCGTTTACTCGAACGTAACTCGAAGGCGCGTACCTTTTTCTCGCCCTGTTATGCGCCGCACGCTCGAAATCACTTCACATCTTTTAACGTACCGCGAGCGAATTTATGCGCGCATCCACTTTGGCGCCTACGTGCATACTGCGGACGAGTATATGGCGGACAGAAATACGAATACGTATTCGAGAAATCTCAGGCAGTTTCCACTGCAACCCGGGCAGGCACGGGTATTACTCTGCTGCAAAATTTAAATGATACTTGAATAGGGTGGATAAAATCGGTGGGGCATTAATAATTCGTGAATGATACTTGAATGATAACGATTGATAGGATAACTTCATATATATTTTAATTATGCATCAACAACACTCTAGTAAAATGTTCTTGTCCTAATTACATTGATAACGTAATAAAGATGTATATTAATATTTTGAAATCGTTGTACATTTAATCTCTGCTTGCTTTTATTTACTTTCAAGAGAAAGAATAATAACAATAATTAACTTTATATTAATGAAATAAAGCTTAACGCGTGACAGGATATTTTGAAATTACCTTTATGCTTGTCTTCGATAAAACGTAATGTATATATCTTTATATGTCAAACTTCGAGAATGAACGTAATACGCAAGATTCAATAAATAGTGCCATATTTTCCACCGCAATTAAAGCAGCAAGCGTGTTTTAAGGTAAGATATACCTCGCTGACGACGCGAATGATAACTAAGGACAAAATGAGCATGAAGACAATTCCGCCGAAAGCCCAAGAGTCCGCGGATGTCCCTTTTTACGCCTATCGGTGAAGTTTCTCCTCGAATCGGCGGTCTTATCACGGGAAGGGATACGTAAAGTGTGCGATTTAGCGAGTGATATCACGAAACCTGCGTAAGGCAACTTTTACAAACGTGATATAAGTGGTGAGGATTAAAGCTGCAATCCGACTACGCGCGTGCGTATCGCGACTATTCCCACTAATATAGTTTCATTAATATTATTAATACTTTTTGCTATTACCGTGACTAATTAAATACGTCTTTTGGAGCAAACAATCTCTTTCGAGAAATAATTATAAACACAAAGTATCTTCTTATCAGGCTGTATATTCGCTAATAAGTATCATGCGGAACCAATGTACCGCGCGTTTGGATTAATAAAGGCAATCGAACTGAGGCTGAGAGAGGCGGAGATTATAACGATCGACAAGTCTCAGAATTAAGCATCGGCGTTAATTGCGTTCAATGTTTTTTACTTCTGATACTACCTGGTATCATAAACCTGATATCCGCCTGATATGAAATTGTTTTTCATATTGCATTTACATAATTACCATAAATACACGTCTTATTCTGAGTTATCTACGGTAAACCTCTTCTTATCTTCATATATATATGCATGTATATATACATCAAGCTATAGTTAGATATTTTTGGATTAAGCAGCACGTATAAACTCGAAAATATCTTTGCATGAAATTAATTACAATTTGTAATAGTAATAATTATTGAAGTCTTAATTCAGTCTTACTTCTCATACTGATAAACGTAATTATTGAAATCCATAAACTAGATTTTCAGTTCTTCCTCGTAAACTGAATATTTTTTTTCTCTCAGAATTACAAACGTGAAAGAAGCCTTTTAAATAATCTTAAAACTTGTTCCGTAAATATCTTTTCGAGCTTATCAGCGTTAATTAGTTCTGTTATTAATACTACTTAATCCATTAAATCATTTTTCGTCGTCTGTCTCGCATCGTCGTATCAAACACGTCGCAAATTATGTCGAAACCTTTTTAATTTTTCGCGAGAAAAATGTTGGAGGTGTTTGAACTACATCGTCCATCACTTTTATCGGAATGTGGAATATTTTCCGTAGAAGCCCAAGATGGGAAACCTGTCGTGCGCTTTTCTATGCACGAAGATGAGAGCGGAGGGATCGTAAATCGCGATGGCTGCTTCTAGGTGAATGGGGTATATGACAGCATTGGTAGGAGAATGGCGCAAGGGAAAGTCATGACAGAAAACAATCTTGATGGCATAAGCCACTTGCCTTCGGTCTTCCGCTAGTCTACGAACTTAGCTTTTTGAAATAAAATAATTTTCTTACAGAAAATTGCGCAATATTAGTGATTACTCTAATAATCTTTTTATAACATTGCACGCAATAAGTGGAGAAAAATAATTATTCCTATAATAATATAGAGTATATAGTGGACACACAGTTATTATGTAATTAAAATATTATCTAATTAATCGCAATTTTGCAAAAACATGCATTGAAACTTACAATTCGTCAAAGATGGATGAAGTTCTCTCTAGTATCTGAAATTATAAAAGAATATAATTAATATATCATCACATATACACACATACACAATTGATAATCTACATATATAAACTACAATACGACATATTTATTAAAAAATTGGTATATTGTAGGTACAGAATAATCGAAATAAACGAATGGTTCCCTTGTACAGAGATATTGTCGTGCCGGTACTCCCAATGTGTCTTACAAATATGGTAATCGTCGGATCGAGGGCGATAAATCAGTCCACGACAAATGGAAACATACTTATGGCGACACTTTCTTTATGCTAATTCTCCAAGTAAATCGCGCATTCACTGTGATCCGCCGTTCTTTACCGACAGAAAGCGGTCGTAGGCAAAGCGCACTATACGGCAATATTGCGACAAGACGATAGGAGGTGACGTGGGAGAACGGGCATAGAAGAATGCGTAATTGTTTTGAAAGAGACCGAGCTTCGTCGCCGCCGCCGCCACCGCCACCGCCGTCGTCGTCGTCTTTCGTGTGGGATGTGTGAAAGGCGGCCTAGCCTGCCGACGCCGAGCATAAACGACGAGGACAGGTTTCGTTTCTTTCGCTGTCCACATATCCGCCATTCCGACCTCTCTTTTAACGCGATCCCGGCGCATGCACGAGCGCAGAAATTGTCGGTCCATAATGGATCTGCACTGAACGTGCAATACACGTAATTTTCGATTTATCTTGAAGCTAAAATACTGATGCTTAATCAGCGAATATTCTTATTGGAAAATAAAACAGTAGGCATATTATTTGGTAGAAAAACTAAAAATTTGTACGATAATTTATATAGAAATACGATGTGATTATTTTATCTTCTAACGAAGTGACTCGAGTTGTTGCATTTTTTATATTATGAATGTATAGTAAAATGGTTTTTTGTAAAAGTCTTTAACTTTTTCTGCAAAAATTTTATAGTATAAAAATATAAATTTTCGAAACTCGAATTAATTTGTAACTAATTAAAAACGGAATAGATATATTTTCTCATTAAAATTTTCCTTCATTATCCTTTCTAAATGCGCCCAAAAACCGAAGAACTTTTCATCTAGTCTCTGTAATGTTCAGATTCATGGCGAAATCGCGGAGATATTCTACTAGGACGGATTTTCCACCGCACGCATATCTTTCATCGTTGTATTCGTTACGTCGGAGCCATTCGAAATTTTGAAACAAGATGTATTCTCGTTCGCGAGAGGCAGACAAGTGGAGGCATCAACAATAGGGATTATCAGCATTGGCTGATCCGACTTCAGGTTGATATTGGTCTCTCGAGCCCCGACAACATATTGTAATCACGCGGATATATTGTGCTCGTGCAATGCACGCTCGTCTCTCCCAGCATCTCTCTCTCTCCTCATGCTACACTATCCGCCAACCCACCCTCTTTTGGTCTCTTTCTTCGTGTTCGTCCATTTCCCCCGGCCTCTATCCCCGGCGATCAATGCTCTCCTATCCTACCGATAACTCGATAATATTACACGCGAAAACCGCTTCCGACGTGCTCGCCCAGTCAGCGAGCCACTTGTGCGAGCAAATAACCAGTTATCGGAAAACCGATTTTATTTTCGAGGAGGAGCGGTGGTCCCAATTTTTTTTTCTTATTGGTGCTACTCGTCCTTCCTCCGCGTTCGATCTCTCGCTCTCCGATCCTTCCTTCTCTATTTTTTCTTTGGCTCTATACCATGTACAGTAGAGGACAAAGATTGGCGCGATTAAGGTTGAATGACGCAATTCTCTTTCTAAACGCGGAATTGCGACAATGCCTCTTTTGTAAATCCCTTGATTCCGTAGCTATTTCCAAATACAGTGAAATTAAAATTATTTAAATACTTTCTCGATTGTAGTCAGTATTGTATCTTTACAGCTTGTATCTTTTTAATATCAATTTCTGTAAAAAAAATATTATGTTTCTAATATATATAATATAATATTAAACGTAAACATGTGTTGTGCATGTTTTACGAAAATTACCTTTCAATTCAATCTTTTTTTCATAAATATTTGTATACACGCATCTACTTCTACAATTTTTTAGATATTGGGTTAAAGTTTTGCACACAAATAGAGTATCATAGAAAGTATGTTCTCTTCCAATTTTATTAAAATCCGTCGACCGGTATGGATTTTAAGGGGATTTTCACTTTTCAGAAAAGCGTGTTTTACACGCTATAGCTTTCTCAATATTTGAGATACCGATCTATTTCTAATTCTATTATATTTTTCAATTTTTTCTACCCTTGTTTTATATATAACTCTTTAAAATTTAATTAATCAGTTCTTGAGTTATAGAAATTTCAGTAAACTTCGCTGTTTTTTTTTTTTTTTTTTTTTTTTTAACAGAAATTGGTAACTCCTTTTTTTTGACCATGTGTTTTAGGTTCTAAAAGAATCGATGATAGAAAGGAACCAACAGCTCTCCGAATTGAAGGATCTTTTCGGCTATTTAGAAGAACATCGTTCTTTGAAAGGTTACGACGGTTCGAAGACATCACGGTGAGTTTGCATGATATTTTTCATGAGATATATCAAAAGCTAAATATTAATGGTGTGAAAATTTATCAATGAACGTTATCACAATCTTAAGTAATAAGAAACACATAATTAAACATGACGAAAAGAAACATGATAAAGCAATCTGTTTCTCAATATGAGTAAAATTTAATTTAATTAGATTGATATATCTTGCACGATAAACTATTTGTAATTTATTTCTGATTATAAAAATTAATTCTTCAATCAAAATAATTCGTTTCATAACACATAAAAAAAGTTAAAGAAACTTATGACGCATTTTGATTAAATTTATATTGCATTCATATTTTGTGTCACGGAGATATATATGTGTGCAATTTTGTAAAAACCGACGCGGTTATCCGGGATCAAGACATCAACGACATAGAAAGGAAAGAATCAATCGTACCAATTGAAGATTGATTACGTCGGTGTATCGACGACCGAGATTTAGCGCGGCAATGCAATTTCTTTGTCGTCTTTACTTTGTACCAGGACCTTTGCGCCTCCCCATCTCCAACGCATCCTGGATCAATCCTTTCTCCTTCGATACCGGATCTACTGTGGGTTTCGCGACAAAACGACCCAAGCGTTTGAACAGTTTGCTGCAAGATTGATCTCATACCTTTTTTGCCGCATCAGTCTTTTTGATACATTATTGCTTCTTTTCCACAATCTAATACCTCAAATTTGTCTTAACTTAATGCTACATATCTATTTGAATACCTTAGAATAACTTGCAATGATTGTAATAATTTCGCGATGTTGAAGAAAGGTCCATGAATATCAATGTTAAAAATAAATAGTCTATAAAGAGTAAAATTATTAAGACATACAAACTACAAACTTAAAATAAGTTTACAATCGATTAGCCATTCATAATCTTCGCTTCTCGAAAAAATATTGTTCTTTTATATATAACGACATTTGCAATATGGAGATTTATTATATAAGGAGCAAATTAGATTCAAGATCGCTGATGTTACCACCTGTTCCTTTCAATTAATATCAATTAATTGCACTCATGTATCGCGATTAGTCAGGCCCGTCTCTCAAAGAAGATATCGTAAACCTATTTCCGGCAGCGGTATAAATACTATTATGCGTGAAATGCGATTGATTATCTGGGGATTGAAAGAGTATATTTAAACGTGTCTAATATTTACAAAATATAGATCATTGATAACTAAGCTGATGACGGTAAAAAGTTTTTAAAAAATTAAAACACAACTAAATTGTATTGATTCTTATCATGCTAAGCCTATTATTTCTCTGTCTCATATTTCGTAATATAGCTATACAGAAATTTTGAGAAGGATTTTCAGCTAATTCTGCTAAATCGAAATTCTGATAATCTGTATACAAAATCTAAATTGCGTAATATTGTACAGTAAGCAAAAAAAATCGTTAATGTGTGAAAATGTATAATGAATTAATATGACGATTATTTTATTAATAACTTAAAATGTTAATGCAATATTTTTATATAAACAAATTGTACAAGAAAGTTATTTAAAATAACATAAAACTTATAATTAAAAAACAATACTTTTAGAGTTTAAAATAGTGTAAATAATAAAGATAATAAAAATATTAAAATTGATTTGAATGTTAAACATTAATGTATCTTTCATGAATATAAAAAATTGAGAATATTTAGAATAAAGTTCTTTTAGTTATCAAGATTCGGTCGCGCTTTAAATAAAATATTCTAATAAGACACTAATTTACATTCTCTTGGTTTATTATGTTTTTGCAACAGAAAATCTTGCTTAAGCATATGTACGTATCGACTTAATCAGACTTCATTATATTTCTACCATGCGAAAGTTTTAACTATGAATACATTTGCAACTACTGTCTGGAATGTCTTTATCGACATAGCGCCTATTGTGATCTGCAAGATTTTGCGATAAGAACAATAGAGTTGTAAAGTCGTCAAGCTGGAATTTACATCGAGATGTAACGTAAATGCATTTATGCAAAGAGTTTTATTATATCATTTGCTTTATCGTGCGCATTAAAATTACGGTAATTTTTTACTGCTACTAGAAAATTTTGTAACTCTAATATATATATATATGTATATATTTAATTTTTTGTCTTTGGTAAATTTACAAAAAGGATCTCAAATATAAATATATAAAGTCTTAAAATCCAATCCATGTAAAATTTCATAAAAATTTCACTGCAACAGCAATATTCAATTTTTGTCATACAAATGTACCGTACAGTATTAATATTTAACTGTTTATAAATGAAAATATCTTTAGCTGGTGATTTTAATCGCATGGACTTTCGCGACATAGATACGCAATAAAAATTATTTACAGGGTCATGCAATTTAAACGCATACGTGTACGTATGCCCTCACCGTCGATAACATTTTCGACGTCAGCCACGTCAACTCGTTTCTCTCGAACGTGCGCATAAATCCCTTTATGAGCGTCGTGTCACGAATTCACGGCTTGTCGCCGATTTTATTGCATGGCAGATTGCTCGGCGTAGTCGCGGCTTTTACGCCGCTGGATAGAAGTAACGAAACTTCCGGCATTCCATCTGACGATACGAGCAGGAGAGAGAGAGAGGCTCCGAACGCAAGGTGCATACGCACGGCGCGGCGCCGCGGCGTGTCGAACGTGCGGCGTGTGCGCCAGACGCATAGATGCGGTATAAATGCATATCTCCGGTAATGTACGGACCGTCTCGAATTTAGCCCGTCGAAGCGCGTGACGATATTCTTTTAACGGCTTGAGTGGCTATATGTTATAAAGTCGATATTTCCGTATTGATAGGATGCTTACGCGCGCGACCTTACAGACGCCTTGATGGTCCCTTTTACGTAAGCTTTCTTATGTGTCGTACAAAAATTTGTTGATAAATAACTAAAATGAAAATTAAAAAAAAAGTCCGAAAGTATAAGAAGGATTTATTGAAAATACCTAATAGGATCAGCTGTAGTATCGTCGAGTCAAGATATTAGAAAAATAATATTTTTATTATAAACTCTGTGTGAAACTTTTAATATTTAGTTCAAATGGGAAAGAATTAGTTTTGTCTACAGAATGTAGAGCAGTTTTATTTATCGTAACTATACAAAACGTGAGTTAATCAGTTAATGTTATCTACTTTCGTGACATTATATTGCGAAGGATGTGGAATTTTTCTGTTTCATACGTGCGTTTCGATATCAGACGAGGCGATGGATACAAGGGACCCGCGTGACTTAAAGCTATAATTCAACGCTGTGATAATTGTCGCGAATTAGTCCTCTAAATCAGTCGTATACCCTTACATTCTCCGCCTCGGTCTCTCCCACTCGTACTTATCGCCGATAAATGGCGGCTCTTTCCTTTCCCTTGATCGCGTGATCGTTTGGCGTAAATAACAATTAAATAAAACTCGAGGTACGAACTCGCCCTCATTTCCTGTCTACTTTTTCTATCTTTAGCCACTGGTGAATTATACCGCTGTCATCATAAATCCCACTTATCCGCGATACGCATAGTGACTGATAATTAGATGAACCATCAATTCGCGAGAATTTCGTCTGATCTCATTTTGCCACTTTCCTTGTTCTTTTTTTTTTCGGAACAATGTATTTCTATATTTATAAGATTTTTGTTATCTCTCTTTTAAATGATATTATTAGAATAACAGATTTTCAATTATAATTTAATAATGATCGAATATAAAAAAATTGCTGATATCGACGAACAATGATATAACGATATCACGAATGTAAGAACCTAATTAAATAGATGATCGATCGTTCCAACGTGCCAATTTATAATAAATCTTATGCAATTCCGGATAATATAGATAAATTTCTGATAATCGGGGCGGAGCGATACATTTTTTTCCAAATCGCCCGATCGGATGCAGGTGTATTACAGGTGCAATATACCTGTCGCCAGGTATGACTGCGGACATGGGGCAGGTGATTGCCGACAGAATTATTCCTTTGTGATCTAGAATTGATCTTGATGAACTGACCTTGTAATACATAGGCGTCAAATTTTGATGTTCCTTCTAATATGCCTATAGATACAATCGTTATTATCTGAAATTTATTCGTAGTGCCGACGTGGCGCAAATGCTGCTCGCGTTATATCATCGACATGTATATTAATTGCCAACATCCATAATCTCGATAAATGGTAGATAGAAGGGTGGTAGGAGCAATTGTTTTATCTGCGACGGAAAATGCTGATTTGTGCATAAAAGGCGATTATACACAGTAAAAAACATTTTGTATTTGTGTTAAAATTTTCCTGTGTAGAAAGTTTTGTGTTAAATTTCTGACACAGTTGTATGTTAATTTAACATATCGTTATTGTGTTACTTAACTTTTCTATGTTAAATTAATATTAACCATTTTTAAGAGTTAAAATAACACAATTTATATAATATGTAAGTGCATGAATTCTTGGTGATATATTTTATATGTTAAAGTGAACAGATAAATTGTGTTATCTTCCTTTTTATAACAGTTACTATGTGTTAAATTGACATAATTCTTATGTTATTCATCAAAAAAAGATCAAAACTAAAAATAAATACTTCTCTTAAATGTTAAAATAACATCTTATCTTAATTACATTTAACATTATAGAGATGTCAATTTAACATACACTTTGAATTCTGAAAGCGTCTAAATGTTAAATTTTTATGTTAATTTTTTATGTATTATGTTTGTTATTTTTTTACATATTTGCTTTATGTTAAATTAACACGAAAATTTGAGTGGATAAATTGGGACATGTGAAATGTGTTAAATTTAACACAAAATTTTTTACTGTGTAAAAAAAAAACCTGTAATTAATGTATATCCATTGCGAAGAACATTCATATTAATGATATGCACATTATTGGTTGTTATATGAATATCTGAATGTGAAATATGTTGGAAATATATGAGGAGACACGCATGCGCATAATTTTGAATATTGTCTCGTAATTGAAATTATACATATATTATA